GCCAGGAGAGTCTGCCGTTGGGTTCTCGGCAGTAGCTAGGTCTTGAGCCTTTAAGGTTCCCATGATCGTCTTCTTCAGTGCCTGTGTCGAAGCTATCATTTTAGTGAGATGATCTTCATCTTTGGGTTTGTCTAGAGAGGAGTCCAGGTCGACCAGGTAACCCACTACTTCTCCGACTCTAACGAGGCGCGGATGCGGTCCAGTGTTGGTGATCGGCAAGTAAGGGCATGAGGCGCTTATCCAGGTAGTAGGAGCAGCCATAACGTTTTGATCGTCCGTTCCAATGATAATCTTTTCTATTATCCAATCTTCTCGTCCTTCGAAGGCAGCGTTTACCGCGACATTTCGAACGTGATAGGGTTGGATAAGTGTATCTTCTGAGGCCGTTACTTCCGTTAGCTTTTTCACACTGCCTTTTGGTTTCGCACGAGTTACGGCTTTCCTACGAATAAAGGACTGGGTGGTATGCGCCACCCTGATTTCGAATCCTAGGTCTACATTGTGAGCTGAGGCGGCGGGTAACACGCGCCCTGACTTTCCAACCAATACTTCACAAAGTCCCGTGGCATGCCTGATAACACTTAGCTCATATGTGGTCTGGAAGTCTTCTCCTAATAGCAGAGGGACGTTCATATTCCTCACGACGTAAGCTTCCAGTTCAAAGCTAACGATCGACTCGTCTTGGGCTACTACGAAGAGCTCAGTCTTGATATATCCCAAGACTTTGGCCCCTCCAGTGAGATGATATAATTTCATTCTCATTCCTTCTCGTAGACGGGGGGAATTCACCATGGACTTCCAGAATTCTTCAGAAATAAGAGTAATATCCGCCCCCGAGTCAAGTCGAGCCTTGACACAATCAGATTCTAGATTATCAATCTTGGCACGCATATGGAGAGCTTTCGTCCCGAGCGATCCCATCCCCTCCGGAAGGGATCGTCCCTTGATGGCAGGGAATACCTTTCCAGGCAGGGCAGTTAGTAGGAATCACCCACCAACACTGAGAGGCCCGACAATACAAACAGGCCATAGTTGATGGTGCCTGCTGATGGGCCGATGAGGGCCAATAACCCTGTGTTGATGAATTGGCCGATGTGATCCCACTATCAAGGTAAAGAAGGGTCGGCCAGCTATGTAGATTTAGCATACACCGATCAGTAGGAAGCTGCCCCGGGAAGTCAAGTCCCTGTATTTGTATATCGGCTGATAGCTAAGCTATGCAAGGTCAGCTGACAGTTTTGAACATTGTATTTGTATATCAGATAGTTAAGCTATGCAAGGTCGGCTGACAGTTTTGAACATTGTATTTGTATATTGGCTGATGGAAGATGCAAGGTCGGCTGACAGTTGTGAACGTTGCTGGGCTGGTGATCGGCCGAGGGCCTTCACTTCTGATTAGCAGCTAGGCTATGCAAGGTCGGCAGACATTTTGAATTCGCCTGGGTTGGTGGTCGGCCGAGGGCCCTCAACTCTGGTTACCAGGGTCAGCTGGCGAGACCCACATGGTAGTCATGGTTCATGGATATCACCGAGTCGGCCGGACACAAGAATTTATGAACATCTCATCAGCCGATGCATCACCGAGGCCGGCATTTTCAAGCCGAATCGTTTTCAGCTTGGCCTTTAATTTAGCAGCCAAGCAGAGGCAGACCAGGCAGAACTTGCAGTTCAAATTTTCATGATCCGAGACAACATCGGTCAAACCAGCATTGATTAGTAAATTTTAACAAGAGTTGCGATAGGTGTAACTGACTTGTGGCATTCGAACCCAGGGCATACATACACAACGTACCCTCCCAGCGTAACCACGAAGCCAAGCCAACGTTGGAAGACGATCGCGGCCAGTATCTTTTACCTGCCTGCAATTTGAACCCGGGCGTCCAAGCTCGGCACTTTGTAAGTCACCCGTTCTCGGCATAAGACAACTAAGACAACTACCCGTTCTTGGGACTTTGGATGTTACAAGCCTTG